AAGCAGAGGAAAGCCGTTGTGGTTGACATAGCAATACCAAGTGACTGCAACATTAGGAAAAAGAAACATAAGAAACTAGAGAAATAGCAGGGGCTTAGAGAAGAGCTGGAGAAAACCTGGGAGGTCAAGGCATCAGTGGTACCCGTGGTCACTGGGGCCCTCGGGGCAGTGACCCCCAAACCTGAAGAGTGGTTACAGCAGATCCCTGGAAATACATCAGACATTTCGGTCCACAAATGTGCAGTTCTAGGAACAGCAAAGATACTGCGCAGAACCCTCAAGCTCCCAGGCCTCTGTGTAGAATTGCATATAATTCACAACCCGAGTAAAGGTATTATATCAGCCACATATAACTGCTTGTCACAGAACAACACTCACTCCACAGCATATATTAAAGAAAAAATGGGAAACGGAAACAGGTAGTGAAATATCAGATGAAGTGGAAAAGAATACGGCAATATCAATGGAAATGCTCCTGTTCAATGAACTGGCAAGAATTTAACTGGAAGAACTTTATTCAATATTTTATTACCCCATCCCAGAAATCTAAATTCAGTGACACATCCCCTGTCTACAGGAGACAATGTGCTCAGCAAAGGGCAAATCACCACCATGTCTTTTGGGACTGCCCAAAAATTCAAAGCTTTTGGTCAGAAATACATAACTCATTAGGAGACATTTCCAGACAGAGAGGAGTTTAAGACTTTGTATCTGGGATGTGTTCCTCAAAACTGGCTGAAAGTGGACAAATACTTAATGAACATCCATTTGGGTGGCCAGCAAAAAAGTTTTCACAGGGAAATGGCTACAACAAAAAAACCCAACACTTGGTGGAGAGAAATTGTGGTGGAAATATATAAGATGGAACAAATAGCAGCCCATGTTAAGCAAAAAAGGCAACTTTTTTAAAACAATTGTTGAAATCTTATTGCTTTGCTCCAGCCAAGTGGTCTAACAGCCCGACTTTATTACTATGACTTTATAATGTAAAATTTATCCTATCATAATGTATGTGACAAACTCCCTGTATGTAAATTTATGTAAAAAACAAATAAATAATGTTAGAACTTTAAATATACAGTCATATGTTCATGTTACTATTTTTTAATGTATTTATTACTGTTTTCAATGCTGCACTTTTAAAAAAGAAACTTTTTAGAGCTGTTTTAAACGAAATTTATTTTTGTATACAAGATGACATAATCAATCTGTCTAAGTATGTACATAGTTCTGTTCTGGATGGAAGTTCAACTGAATAAACTGATTGCTCTCCCACATCCACCTACAACACAGCCAATCAGCTTTGAACCACACGTCCATGGAAGCCAATCAGCATCCAAAGTTCATCTTAAAAGGCCTCCAATCCGCAACTCGTCTGCTACCTAGGGCGCAGGCGGCGGTTGCGCTGCGTGACCTCAATTCACCCACCTCCAGCTCCTCCTCCACCATCGTAGCTAAAGCTTCATCAGCGCGTCATTCCTCCAGGACTCTTACTGCGTTCACTGTCTCATCTTCACCG